AAAAAAGAGTCATCATGAATGTGAATCTGGTATTATGAAAAAACAAACAAGTACAACAAGGAACAACGCTTGGGAAAGAGGGAGAAAAATGCTATGGTACCATTAAAAAGCAACAGAGGGTCCTGTGGCACCTTTAAGACTAACAGATGTATTGGAGCATAAGCTTTCGTGGGTGAATGCCCACTTCATCAGACGCAATGGTACTATGGTACCATTGTTCAGCAAAAGAAATTGCTGGCCCTAATTGGTGACTTAGGGCCAAGTCCTCAGCTGGTGTAAATCAGCGGAGTAGTTCCATTGACTCAGCAGCTTGACCCCAGCTGCTAAGCTTGAGCCCCGGATTTTTGTGAGTTTGCCAGAAAGACAAACATTTTTCACTTTTGTTTGCAAAAATTAGAGGCTATTGTCTTGTAAGAGGGAATGCATTGTTTTGACCTGAACATCCAAAATGTAGTTTTCTGTGACAATGGCTTTTTGCCATTTTTGCAGAGAGAGGCTGTGTTCACCAGGACTGACGCCACAAACACTAGCTCAATAATAAATATTTTAAGCCCTTCACCCTGTAACTAGCTCCACTGGGGTGGGATACTACAACTATGAAAAACCTGATTGAAATCTTCATGACTGCAGGGGCCTGCCCATGCAACCAGTCGTAGGATTGGGCCTTAGTTTTAATAATCTATGGCATTATTAATAACAAAGGAATGGCAATTGTGTGCAAATATACGGGGCAATGCGGTTACATTAATCTGGCCCATCGTTTTTACCTAATACTGTCCTTTTAGGTAAAAACGGAACTGAAAGGAACCTAGTAACTAGAATGGTTTTTAGCTAGAAGCAATAACTGGGATTCAGTTTCACTTCTCCTTTATCCACCCTGAATGTGGAATATTCTGGGAGAGGGCTCAAGACAAGGAGACGCTGTCACAGCATCTAGTCAAATGCCCCTTCTTGGACAATCACTATACTTCTGTGACAGCTGCCGAATCCCCTGTGTGCTTTAAGCCTCCACAGTCTGAACAGTGCCCATGCACTGTCCCTAGCTTGGGGTCCTCATAGCTTTGACCCTGTGGTCCAGTTGCTTGACCCTTGGGACCAGTGCTGATCCCCCCCCC